GTGAATTCAAAAGCCTAATTAATAATATGTGCAAACTTAGTTTTCATGATGTCATGCCCTGTTTCAGTATAATGATAATACTTAAAGAAGCAGATATCTATGAACTAGATGTTCCCTTCTGCTTTGCTATAGTCTGACCATACAGTGATGATTAATCACTTTTGGGAATTGCCCTCCAAAACCAGGATCTAAAATTGAGATCTTCCATATCTCTCAATGTATTCATGAGCTAAGGGAGGAAGACGATGAAGAAAATGTATTCAGGATTTTAATTACTGTATCCTTTTGTCCACAAACCTGGGAATAAGGAGATGAGACACCAATATTCTTGGTCTAATAAAAAGCCACAGCACTATTAATTGACTTCGAGGATCTAAAGTGAAATGCTTTTGCACTAATTAATTCTTCATTTCTAGTGAGGATATAATCTGCTGGGCTCAGATGGCAGATACCAGTTCTCTACCTGTCCCATACCTCCAGGCAAACATATCGTGGCTCTGAGCTTCTGAGCAGTGCAAGAACTGTTCTAGGTCTTCACAGCCACACATACAGAGGGACCGCTGGCCAGGTCATTTTGCCCTCCAACCATCAGCTTTGCATGGATGAGCCAGAAGTCATCAAGGGAATGGGTGTTCACAGAAAGAATTCAGCTGGGGAGGTGGGGTGGGAGACAATCTATGATCATTGGTCATTGACTTGACCATTTGCAGTTTCTATACAACAGAACCATGACATGGTGCTGAGAAGAAGTAATGAGAACAAGGGTGATTTAACAATAGTAGAGTAAGGCGCTGAAAAGACAGACAGCTTCAATTTGTCCAATTAATAGCAATCCTGTAGGTCTCAAACCTAAAGCAATGCTTCCACCCCATCGTTCAGCCTGGACCCTGAGGTCCAGCTCCGAGGGCCTTCTGGAGGTTCCCTCACCGTGAGAAGTGAAGTTACATGGGACCAGGCAGAAGGCCTTCTCAGTAATGGTGCCCAACCTGTGACACACCCTCCCATCAGATTCAAGGAAAAAAACCAACTATTTGACTTTTAGAAGACATCTGACGGCAGCCCTGTCCAGGGAAGTTTTTAATGGCTGATGTATCTAGGTGTAAGATTTGTGGAAACAAGCAATGAGGCTGTATGTGTGCATGAGGAATTTCTTGGGTTCACTGGAGCTAATGTGTGCCCAAATCCATTGTTTTTCATTGCACTGTATTTTCCTTACCCAATGCAATAGAAGCTGCCTTCTTTGCCAAAGCTTGGTTTGCTGTTCAACAGGCCAGAAGTGGGATCTGCCGGATGCGTTATATGGTGATTTGTGTACTACAGCACCGCCATGAAGAATTAATTATTTAACTCACCCCAAAGCCAGTCAAAAGAATCACTGCAAAATGTGCCCAGAATTTTTAAGCACACTGAATCATGTTTTTGTTACCTTTAGCTAAATATTCATGGAAACACCTGCAAGTCCTGGCAACTTTGAATGGAAATTTGGAACTGGCATGGTGTGATTAGGTTTAATAGGCAATACCGAAGACTTCAACAATACTGAGAAACTTATTTCTGTGAACACAAGCTGCTGACAACAACACAGGCAAAATTCTCGCCAGTCAGGAATCAACTAGGCAGTATCTCCTACACGCAATTGCAGGTGATGGAAACAATGGATTTGAAACTGGCTCTGTCATAAGGACACTTCTCAGGATGTGTAAGACCAAGAAGAGTTAGTGGTGGTTTCCTCTCCCCATGATTCTAGACTTTGTGCAAACTGAGAAGATATGCATTATGTTCTCATATTGCAATACCCTCTAGTCAGCTATCTTTTTCATTATTTATATTTTATTTGAAGTTTTCAACAGATGTTCAACAACTTTTGCATAAGCTGCAAGAAATGGAAGCTTGCATCATATTAACATAAAATGTGACTGTGCATGCATATGCACTCATTTATTGAAGTTTACTTACTCTTGTCGTTCTTCATCTTGGTTGGCATATAGTTCAAAGTAAACTCATCCTGTCCTTTTATCCAAACAAGGTCAGCACCAGGAGCTGGAACCTCCAGGAGGCTAGGGAAGAAGACTCATCACCATTGCTCTCCTCAGCATGTCCTTTTTGCTGCTAAGACAGCTATATGAGACCACATTTTGTGTGGCTTGGTCAACCCAATTTAAAGCACCCATCAAAATATTGCATTAATTGGCTATTTCATGTGACATACTGACATTCAGATTTTGTTGACTTCAGAGCTCCAAAGCCACATTGTGACTTCATTGTACTCCTGAAGCCCTTCTCACAAATGAGTATGGCTGCAGAGGTTTAGAATCAGAGCTTTCCCTCTCCTAGATGGACTACCTTCCAGGTTGCCAAGCCCCATCTGCCCCTGACTTCCCACAATAGCACAAGCAGAAACTGCCTTTTTGACCATCAGACCCACTATTGGTCTCATCTGCTCAATCCACTAGAGCCAAGTCCCTGGCTCACCAAGGGTTTAAGAACCATCAGCTACCCTCACCTGGTTTCCTTTAATAACCTATACATCAAGGAGGACAGAAAACAACTTCATATGTGATCAGTTATAGATCTGATTTCTTGTCTATGTTGTTGAAGCTACAATTTCAAACGAGTATGTCTCAGTTTATGGAACCTGACAATACTACCGGTTACATTTTTCAATGCCATTTACTTTCACACATTGCCAGCTACCCTTTTAAATGGTTTGCAATACACCTTTGTTCCATGTTCTGTTCCATGTTTCTTCTGGAGAGAGAATGTGAAGAAAGAGTTCAAAGAAACTGACATATATGAAATGTAAGGGAATACTCAAAGCAACCCCGTTTAGATATCTCCTTTTTAGACTCAGAAATGAGAAATGACAGATGACACTTGAGCCATACATTTCTACTCTTCTATATGAGATTCCATTCTCTGTAAAATGATTTCCACTGAGTTTCAACAGAGTTTAGAAATAATACTATTCTTGAAAGCACAGTAAAGGAAAAATGTGAATGTTGTAGCAATGAAATCAGCTACAAAGTTCCTTGGCTTCAGTTATTTGGTTTCAGCCAATTTCATATGTTCACAGGACTGTATCACAGATCTGTAATTTCATTACAAGTCCTTTTGGGAAAAGTCTTCCTGAGGTGACCTTTAGGTGTGCTTTATTCTCTGTCCATGGCTACCTACAGACATTCATTAGACTAATTTATATCCAGAGGAATACCATTAAAAGCCACTAAGAGTCCAGCTAACAGGGATATATTCTCCTTCTCCATTTCCCAGCATATGCCATCAACCATGGAGATCAATGCCATTTCTGTCTCAAAACCAGTCCTGAAGCTAGATTTAAATAGCTCTAGATCATCCATCTGATCCAAAAACCTCTGAAACTAAGCTGAAACTAAGCTGTTTCCTGCTTGGCAGGGGGTTGGACTCGATGGCCCTTGTGGTCTCTTCCAACTCTATGATTCTATGATTCTATGATTCTATGACACACTTGCCCAAAAAAGCAATATTCAAGGACTATATTGATTGAACATTGTTGGGCCAAGAGAAGGTATTATAAATAGTGGCTTTCCCAAGGTCATCTTGAAACTCTACTTTGCTGACTTCATTTGAATCTAGTCCACCAGCAATTCCCCACCCCCACACACCCTGGATGCAGGTTCAAGTTCTCAGAATAATGTGTTCTCAGGATAGTCCACTTTCTCAACTAGTAGACAGGAGGAGTAGTGGGGTACACAGAGAAATAAGGAACTAAGCGTTAGTTTTCTGGGAGTTTTCTGTGTAGACCGTTCAACTATGCTGAATGTACACGATCAGTGAGAAGTGGCACTAGGTCATGAATGCACCATGAATATTTTCTCTTGAATTCACAGCCCTTCCATACAAATAAATTCACTAGCAATTTCATACCCATGGACAAGATCCTGATTTAAAGTCTAGTCACATGTAAGTTCCATTCAGCAACTTCAAATAAAAGTGTATTTCTTGATGGTTCAGTTGGTTTTTATTGCTTTCTATTCATCCTGGTTCAGGGAATAGTGAGTATTTTCCCTTTGAACAGCCTCTCTGTGAATTCTCCTATGCCATTTTCTTTTTCCATGGGGGCAGGAGGCTTTAGCAATTATTATTATTGTTGTTGTTGTTGTTATTTTAAAATAGTGAAAGAGTGATGTTTTCTATCTTAAAAATAAAGAGGAAAGCTATTAATGAGGGGAAAGCCATAATGCAAAGACATAAAGAGAAACCTGCTGGATTAGGACGAAGGACCATCTGGTCCACCATTCTGTTCTCATAGTGGCCAACAAGATGCCCATTGGAAGCCCTTGAGCAGGACATGAGCACAATAGCTCTCTCCTGCTTCTGTACCCCTGTAACTGGTATTCAGTGGCATAATGCCTTAGATGCTGGAGGTCATATACACCCATCATGACTAGTAGCCACTAGCAGCCTTAGCATTCATGAATTCGCTCAATTCCCCTTTAAAGCTACCCAGTTCAAAGAAAAACTAAGGGCACTTCCAGATTTGCCTGTTTACTGAGCATTCACTCTGATTTGTTTGCAAGGATGTTAGATTACACAGCCACTTAACAAGCATTCACTCTGATTTGCTTCCAGAGAATAGGTGATGTTGCATCAAAGAAAGTGCTATCACCTGCTTTCCTGTCACTTTCCTTACTGCAGAAATTCTAATCTTTTGATGAAACAAGTTTGTTGTGCAAGAGCTCTAAATCAGCTTTAATTGCACAATTTGCTGGTATGTGAATGAATCTCAACCAAGAACAGTGAGAATCTGGAAGCACCCTAAGACTAATTTCCTCCTACTTTCAAGCCAGGATGAGAAGGAAATAACAAAACCTTCTGAACCTGCAAAAAGGGTGTTTCATTTAAAGGAGGAAGTGTTTGCGTGGCAAGTCCCCTCCCCCATGTGAAATGAAGACACTGGACACATTATTTAAGGTTAATGGGCATAAAAAGGCCACAACTTTATTGATTACAGAATTGAAAGATATTGGCCTTAGGCATTGCCTATCGACTACCCGGCATGGAGACTGGGAAGGGTTATCCACAAGCTGTGGGAGTCCTGTTGAAGTACGCCAACTAGGATCCCACGGGTGTCACCGCTCGGGGGCATGCCGGAGGCCCTTACCTCCCTAGGTTTCGGACAAGGCAACGCCCCCCGGAGTCCTCTACCGGACTACCCTTTTCATTGGAGGAAGGTGATGGCGCTTCCTTCCCCCCATTCATTTGCATAACAATTAACCCCTGCCAATGCCTAACCACCACTCGAGCAAAGCTCGCAGCCAATACCTTCAAACCTGTAACCAATTCCTAATCCCTGCTATGATGTCCCCCAACCAAATATCGTTTCCAGCATCTGACAGATGCACGCCATCCCATCTGTAGAGGGCCTCGTTGCTGTACTGGATGCTTGGGTGGCCAATGACGCACCCGCACAGAGCCGCCACTCTACGCTCCACAGCCCGCTCCAAGACCTTTCTTGCTTTATTGATTCCAACCGGGCTCAAACAATCCCTCCATGTCCTCCTCTCAAGCAACGAGGACCACAAGATAGTAATGTTTGGGTAAACCGCCATCAGATCAGCAAAATCGTCAAAAATGTTCCATCTCAAGTCAATAGCTTTGCGGTACGCTAGGTCGTTTTCCCCCAACTGGATAACCAGGGCATCAGGTGGGCCCTCAGAGGCGGCTCTCGCCATCATGGCTGGCTTGAATTCGCTCCAGCGCATCCCTCTTCGCGCTATCCACGCCAGCTCAACATTTGCAGGTAAGTTCAAGTTTTGCCCCAACCCGGTACTCATGGCATGATTCTTGGCCCAATGCACAATGCTGTGGCCCACCAACCAAATGCGCACCTTCCTGTATTCTGAAAAGCAAATAGACAGAAAAACCAAGGTCAGGAGTACAACCGCTAGTCATAGATTCTTTCTTACATAAGCTCTGTATGCATTAGATTTCCACCGCCCCAAGTCCTTTATCCTCTCTGTGGAGAGCCCGAGGTGCACAGCAGTGGTAGCGGCCCCGATCCGAAAGGAGTGAGCTGCAAATTCGGCCGCAGGCAGTCTGCATGCTGCCAAAGCCATGCGTATCACCCGTGTAAACTGGTGTCTAGCCAAGAGCAATCCATCCGCGTGAATTAAAAAGGGGCCGGGGCTATTGGGTCTTAAGTAGAGGAAACGCCTTGTATCCCTAACCGGGCAGGGACCACTACCTTGTGCGGCTGGTAACTGGATGAGGGCCCCCCTACCCTGTTGGTCCGTCTTAGAGCTCCGTACTTGAACGATTAGGTCGTTCCTTGATAGGGTCAGATCACTTAAGAGGATGCCCCTCTGGCAGTGGGCAACCCCTCCCTCACAAACTACCTCCCCTATGCGCAGGGCACCAAAGAAGGCTATGGAATAAGCGGCAGAGAATAGGCGAGCTTCATATTTTGACCAGCATATTGCACGTAATTTTTTGTGTATCTGGGTCAGAATATCATAAGTTAAGGGCCTCCTCTTGTCAGAGCTGGGGGGCTGGAGCCGGCGCCAACCCTCTAAAGTCTTACGCACTATAAATTTAGCGCACGGGTCGGTGGCGAAAAAGGCTTTACAAAAATATGAGATCCCTGCGGACTGAATATTGAGAGTCTTTGGTGCCCTGCCCAGCTCCTTCAGGTGGGCTAAGTAGCGGAGGACCTCCCTTGTTGAGGGAATGGAGTTCTGCCTCGTGCTGGGTATTCTATTGCGGAACTTTAGGAAGTCAGCCCACGCTTTCTTGTATGATCTCATTGTGGAAGGGGCAACTGCACCGAATACTCCCTTCATCACTTCTTCCTCCCAAGACTCCAGAGATGCTCCGGGAAAGGCATCAATGATTGTTCCGCATCCGGCGCTAATGAGCGGAAGCGCTCCATCTGAAAGCGAGACAGAGCATCCGCGATGTCATTATTAATGCCAGGTACGAATTTGGCTGAAAAATATATATTTTGCTCAAGACACAGGAGGACGAAGGACCGTAACAAGTTTCCCACCCTGGTGGAGCGTGCGGACTATCTAGAAAGAACCGCTACTACTGCCTGGTTATCTGTGTTGAAACAAACCCTATGATTGTGGAACTGCTCTGCCCAAAGATGTACTGCCACTACAATAGGGAAAAATTCCAAGAATGTAAGGTCCCAAGTAATGGGCTGGCCCTGCCAGTCTGCAGGCCACTTTTGGGCACACCACTGGCCCCTGAAATAAACTCCAAAACCCAAGGAACCTGCCGCATCTGACTGGACTTGGAAGTCAGTATTGAGTGCCATGGAATCTTGCCACAAGGATATACCGTTGTACTTGTCGAGGAATTGTAGCCAAACTCCCATATCCACCTTAACTTCTTTGGAGAGGCGCACCCTATGCTGTGGTGCCCTGAGACCTGCCGACAATCTGGCCAGGTGGCCACAAAAGGGCCGACCCAGCGCCACTACCCTACAAGCGAAATTTAGGTGACCTAGCAGGGATTGAATTTGCCTTAGGGTAACCTTCTTTAGGGTAACTACAGTATTATCATCTAATTACGTCTGTTCCCATGGCTCAAATCCTACTTGCAAGTTTATCATACTATATTATTTCTTCAAATACAGTGGTACCTCGGGTTAAGTACTTAATTCGTTCCGGCGGTCCGTTCTTAACCTGAAACTGTTCTTAACCTGAAGCACCACTTTAGCTAATGGGGCCTCCTGCTGCTGCTGCGCCTCCAGAGCACGATTTCTGTTCTCATCCTGAAGCAAAGTTCTTAACTCGAGGTAATATTTCTGGGTTCACGGAGTCTGTAACCTGAAGCATATGTAACTTGAAGCGTATGTAATCCGAGGTACCACTGTTGTCTGAAAAAGGCATCTATTCAACAGTGCATATTTCCCATGGAAATTGACAAGGGATCATGGTGTTGTTTCCTACAAAGCTGCTTAAAAAATTTCAGATGAAGGCTGTTTATTGCTCATTTTGGTTCAGCAGTATTTGTCCTCCACCGATGTGAAAAGAATAGTGTGACAAGGAGATGATGCGTGTTGAGGAAAACCATCCAACAGTACATGCTGCAGATACCAACAGAGTCAGCAGTTTTCTCTCTCGAAATATAAATGGCCCTTCCTAGGACCTCTAATTATCAACTGTTTAGAGGCTTAAATAAACTGACCCAAGAGGTTTTCTAATCACCAGTGTTCTAGTCAAAATCTTCAGTCATTTTTATGACTCTAGTCATTGCTGCCCCATGGAAGGCTAGGGTCTTTCAAAAGCAATCTTATCATTATACTGCCATTATGACTGTGGTGCAAATATCACTCATGAGACAAAAGCCGAGTCTTCTGCGATGTACTTAATCATAATGCTGTGGTCATAATCCAAGAAATGTAAAGGACTTTTGAGTCTTAGTGATTTGAATGGGAGAAGTCTAAACACATACGCAATTCTTCCACTGAAATACATTAATCTTTAAAATGCTGATCCGGGGAGAGAGAGACTGGAAAAATATAGAATATGTTGAAGGGTACTGGCCTGTTTAGGACTTGCCCCTACAGGAAAATAAATGATCTTCAGAAGCTCAGTCTACAAAAATACTCAATGGATTAACACGTAAGTGTGATAACATTGTTTTTGTTTCATTATTCCATATGCGCTCTCTCTGACGCATCCTGTTTGCTCCAGCAGTAATGCATAGCAATTGTGAACATTTCATAATTCATTTATCAAAAGTCTCTTGTTTGTATTTCATTTGCCTTTGTTTCTTATTATTTTGAAATGCATTTTACTATTATTTGTGGTGCTGACAGTGGTGGCAGCAGCAGGGGAGCAGACTTCAATAGCCCCTGCTGGCAGCCATTCTTTCTCCATCACCACCACTATTCCAGGACACTGGTGTGGGTGGGTGTCTTTACCCCTGGGTGCACATATAACATTGCAACTTTCAGGTTGTTTTGGGTGGGGGGAAATGGCAACTGCCAGGGATGGCCATCAGATTCAGATTCTGCTGTCACTTTTTCAACTCCCACTACAGCCAGAGACAGATAAATTTCCACCATTTGCTCCCCATATACAGTGGTACCTCAGGTTACATACACTTCAGGTTACAGAGTCCGCTAACCCAGAAATAGTACCTCGGGTTAAGAACTTTGCTTCAGGATGAGAACAGAAATCGTGTGGTGGCAGCAGGAGGCCCCATTAGCTAAAGTGGTGCTTCAGGTTAAGAACAGTTTCAGGTTAAGAACGGATCTCCAGAACGAATTAAGTACGTAACCAGAGGTACCACTGTAGTATGAAATAAGACTAAATAGATTCAGGACTCCCATCCACACACACATTCATTCCTCTCTGCACATGTTTTGGTACATGTGAAATTAAACCAAATGGTCCCCAGTTGGCTCAGTTTCTCATCCTTTCCAAAATGAATGCAGCTGCCCAATGGCCACACTGGTCCTAGGCTGCTCACTTCATATTCCAAATATTCCTTCATCATCCTGTACTTGAACGTCTTGTTGCCCACACACCTCTGGTTCCTCTTGTGGGCCTGCAGTAATTTGAAGTTGTCGTGATCCAGTAATTCTGCATCAAAAGTTATCCTGATAATGGTGGTAGAACTCTCCCTTACACCTAACTGAAGAAACAGCTACCAATGCAATATTTTTGCAAAAGCTTTCAACAAGAGCTCATAAAGGCTGTGTTTCCTCTATCCCTTGCTCCTAACCAATATTTCCTCGCCAATATTCTCAAATACTGATGACTCCTCCCCAAAACCTTTACCCTTCTTTAAGTTCGACAGCCAGCAGGAGGGATGCCAGGAGCAACACACTGCCTATTTAATTGAGCATTGATCTCCAAGGTTGAGCCAAGAACACGTATCTCCCTAGATTTGTTGATGCTCAAAAAGCCTCAAATCAGCACTGAAGCGACCTGGGGAGGGTACTGGAAAAGAACCACAGTTCTGTGTACACCAGCATTTGTGAAAGATCCAGAATGGATTCAGAATGGTGTCAAATGTGTTTTGCACCATTTACTTTATTTTGTGTGATGTTGAGGATGTGTGAAGCAACCTCTGTTTCATGCTTTCCCCCACTCCCTCACATTGGCCTTCTTTAGCTGTAACCCATAGCTGAGACCAAAAGTAGTGAACTCAAGATGTTCCTGACATCTAATTTCCTAATCACCCTCATGAGCAGAATTACAGAATACATACGAGACATTTAAACACAAAAGGGCTGCCAGTGTCTTGTGTATGCTCACAGTGCCAACATTTACTGGTTGGGGGAACAAGGGAGTAGAAGGGTTGTGACTGCAGCCACAGAACTTTTCTCAGTCCAAATATATCCCACCATTGGTGTGGATGGGAAAAAGAATAACCACCTTCCCTCCAAAATAGAGATATGTGGCTGGTGCTGTGGACCACTACAGTTTTGCTTTTAGAAAAACAAAACAAGAAACAGGAGCTACAGTGCTATAAATGGTTGCCCCATATAAACAACCTAGTGAAAGTTGTACTATGTTATGACATAATATGGAGTACTAAGTGACATTTTGTGGCTGCTGTGCCAAAGGGAGGGATAATAGAGAACCTGCAAACAGAAGTGTGACTTATTTGAACTCCAATTAGAGGAGAACTAGCCCCGCTGTACATCGGGGAGGGCTGTGTGGAGAGAGTGTCTTCCTTTAAATTCCTAGGAGTTTATCTCAGTGAAGACCTGACTTGGAAAATCAATACAAACCAGGTGGTTAAGAAAGCCCAACAGAGACTCCATCTCCTCAGAGTATTGCGAAAGAATGATCTCCTTCTACCAGTCCACAATAGAAAGTGTCCTTTCATACTGCATCACGGTGTGGTACGCTGGTTTGACATCAACTGATAGGAAGTGCCTACAGAGGGTGGTGAATACAGCACAAGATATTATGGGCTGTCCCATGAGTCCGCTGGATGACACCGCGGAAGAACGTTGCCTCAGGAGAGTGAGGAAAATTCTCAGGGATGATTCACACCCTGGCCGGCACTTTCTTGATCTCCTGCCCTCGGGCAGAAGATATAGAAGCATGATTAGTCGCACCAACAGGGTAAAGAACAGCTTCTATCCATGGGCTGTTAGGCTGCTGAATGAAAAGATAACAACAGGGCAACTGACTTTCGGGTTTGGTGGGTGTGCGTCAGCAAACGAGGGGAATTAAGACTAAGAGAGCTGAGTGGGGGTTTATTGTGTAAACTCACTGTATAAAAGTTGTAAAAGTGACAATAAAGTATTTCAATTTCAATATGTTTGGTGTGCAAGTACCCTCAATTTAAGACCTAGCCTGTATGCTGCATAATTTATAGCAGCAAGAATTGCACAACACAGAGGACTATACAGGCTGCTGCCTACTAGCCTAACCATTGTCCATGGAATGTGGCTGTTACCAATCCAGTGGCAGGACCAGTAGAGTACTTGCAGCCTCCAAGGCCACCTACGGTGTGCCCCAAGAAAGGTTATGGTGTGCCATCTTGACTTATACAGTGAGATGCCACACACTGCATCCTGCCAAACCAGTGACCCATTGTATGGAGAAGTGGAGAAAGCAAAGGAGCTCTGCTTGCATCACCTCACTGGCCACTGCTGAGTTATACTCTATAAGCCTCTGTCTACTGCTCAAACACTGCTTGTGACAGGTACAGGAAACAAAACACAGAAACAGCCTCGTGGAAGGCCAAAAGAAGGCAACCATGGCCATTTAACTGATGGAAGTAAAAAAAACCCTTCTTAGTCCAATCAATCAGTAGCTGACCTTGATCCACAGTTATGTTTCAGCTACCATAATAGGAGCTAGTGGGTTGGAAGGCATGCAGATATACCATGGCCTTCTAGCAGTCTTCTCTACTTAATAATGCAGTGAGAGACAGACTATTGTCCATTTCAAGAGAACTACAATACATTCTAAGAATGGGATCCAGTCTTCTCTTCCACTGTGCAGATAGGAGAGGAACTGATAGGGCTGATGGCTTAGTATAGGAGTGTTTCCAGTTCCAGAAAGGAGTGCTGTGCAGACAGGTCACATGCAACAGCTATATGAATAGATTGCTACAGCATGCTGTATATGACATACTATTTTATCTCTGAGGTGGGTGAAAAAATGTCCCACTGAACATATCACTGAAGTATAGCTTGGCTCAATAAAGTTGCAATCCAAGAATAAGAGGGGGAGGGATATGGGGTGGAGAATATTAAACAGTCTCTGAGGTGGAAAAAAATAATGATCAACTTGGCACACTACGTGCTGTGCTTCCGCCTTAGACTGAACCAAGGTTATAAATAGTAATTGGTAATAGGGAAACTGCTACAACCTAAGATTATATGGTACAGATAGATATAGCTTATAGGAATGATCTTTGCATACAAAAATTCAAAAAAAGGTTTCCTGCTCACTTCAAGGAACGGCTGCTCGTGAATGGTGATTATGTAAAATGCTAACCACTAATATGTTTTCATTTTGTAATTACACTCCATGTGCTCTGTAAGGAACTGCCAAGTTTGTTTCACAAGTATGCATTTTTTCATGAAGGATTATGAGCATTTTGTGTCTGTAGAACTTCCAAAATGGGATCAGCTGAACCTCAGGAGCCATTTCTTACCTCCCAATTTCATTCTTTAATTAGCACACAACAGGGGTGGGGTGGATTGTAAATGGACTCTTTCTTTCATTATGTCATCTGCAGTTTTAGGATATGCAATTTGTGGGTGTGTATGTGTGAGTGGTATTTTTTTAAAAAAGAAATAAATGCAAGAATTTGATATGTCAAGATAATATGCTGCAAAACCATGAGTCTGGCAAAAGTGAACTACTCTGCTTTTATGAGGTTGAAGGGGAATAGGAGAAAATAACAGGCACTGGCATTATGATAGCAGAGAATTAGATGCAAAATGATAGTCCTATTAGTAGGGAAAGTTGAGGGTTGTTGTTTTTTCCCTACATGAGATTGAAACATGCAGAAACAAGGAAATAAAAAATTAAAAATCTTTGTTTCCTCTGGGGAAAAAAACCAGTCAGCTGTGCATTTCTGAGCAAGGCCTAGGACATATCACTCATGAGTTGGCAGTCAAAATGTATCTTGCATCTGATGACGTTTCTTAGTGGCAGAGCTTAGGGCTGAAATGGGCACAGTAGCAGACCTGTGATCTTTTTCTCTCTTTTTGCTTTCATTCACGGTTACGCTACCTACATTAATCACACATTCCTCCTCTTTCATCAGTATAAAGCACTCCAATTCAAGGAAGTGCCTTGGAGGAACACAGCTGCCATATTCTGGAACAATTTGTCACTCCAGGCGGCAGTGATTTGAGGCATGCCTACTATGCCTCACACCTAGCATAATTTAAACGAAAAACTCCAAAATTCACTGTTGGAGTGATACCATTATTTGGGTCAAACAAAATGTCACAAAACTGAACAAATCAAGTTTTCATGTTCTCCAGAAATGTTTATCAGTGAGATATGCATGTAGAAGAACTTCTATGAGCTCAAGGTAATTTCCCTTTCCTCTCTTCCTGCCCCCCCCCCCCGCAACTTCTTCAGAGGGTTGTGGAAAACCCAGACCAGACGGGGGGGGGGGGCACACAGGGGCAGGAGAGGGAGAAGATCCGACATGCTTGCATTACTTGTTATGTTCATGCAGTAGTTTAGCTGGAAACAACCCACAACCCAAAGTATATAAACTGACCTCAGAACTACACCATCTAGCCTAATATTTGTACCTTATCTCTCCCCCCACACCCTGTTTTGTATAAAATCTTGTCTAAGACAGAGTTTTCGAGTACTCAAATGTTTGACACAATAATTGGTCCAAATAATTTGTATGTGGGGACACAGTCTTGCCAGTAATTCTGCATCAGGATGAGACTTTTAGTGGTGCTAGGTCTTTCTCTCTCTGCCTCCCCCCCCAATCTCTGTGTGTGGTGTGTGCACGCGCCTGAATACAGTGGTACCTCTAGTTAAGTACTTAATTTGTTCCGGAGGTCCGTTCTTAACCTGAAACTGTTCTTAACCTGAAGCACCACTTTAGCTAATGTGGCCTCCTGTTGCCGCTGTGCCACTGGAGCACAAATTCTGTTCTTATCCTGAAGCAAAGTTCTTAACCTGAAGCACTATTTCTGGGTTAGCAGAGTATGTAACCTGAAGCGTATGTAACCTGAAGCATATGTAACCTGAAGTGTATGTAACCTGAGGTACCACTGTATACAGGAAGATTCAAGCAGATCCAAGGAGCAGGAGTAGATACAAGCTGACCTCCCTCCATCAATCTGAGATCATACTTACCCAGTCAGATTTTATCTGCTTACTCAACAATAGCTTGGTAACAGTCTGAAATCTGGACATTCAGGTCAATGGATTAATCTCTGGCTACTCACCTCTGTTCAAAATATTTTGGAGGAAGCAGAATGAGAGTAAGTGTTGAAGAGCAAAGCAGCCCAAACAGGAAAACAGCCTTGTGGAGCATAAAAAGAAACAAAGGGGATTACTTTGAAAAGTCTTCACTAAATGGCCTTTGTTCAGCCTGTGCCTGGCACAAGGATTTATTTCACATTCATCCGGTATCTTATTCTTATGAAGTAGTTTAAGCAGCTGCCAGTTCTCAAGAAGAGGGTGGGGAGGGATATATAATAGGAATAGAGCCTCAGATGCAGTTCCGAATTGCAGAGTGTGACTGCCTTATATTAATAGCTGTTATGTTCTGTGCCACAGGACGTACCCGCATGTGTAGGACTGATTTATACTCTACCTACAAGGACGATTCACTGCAGGAGTGGAAAGCACACCTTGGCTTAAGCAGGCCATGAAGGTGCAATGTCAGACAATCTCACGGAAACACGAACAAGAATAGAAATATCAGTTTTTTGGAACCTATCAAATAAAATGCTACATCGGCAAACAACTATTTGGCTTATGTCTGTGTTACAGAATTCTATGGGGGCAGGTAGGGAATGTTCATTGATAATCCAGTCTCACATATCTTCATAGACTCGAAGGCCATAGATGAGGTGAGTGTCCTACTGAATATGCTCCTAAGGTCATGGTAATGGCTGATGCAGCATAAAGCAGTGGTGGCAAACTTATGGCATGCGTGCCAGAGAGGGCACTCAGAGCCCTCTATGTGGGTGGGCAGGCCATCACCCCAGCAGGGCCATAGGTTCTGTGAGGGGTAGGGGAGAAGGAGGAGAGGAAGGCTCACATGCAAGGAGGAGTGGAGGCGCTGAGAGATCCCTGCCTCCATTCCTGCTTGCAAGCAAGTAGGAGCGGGATCAGGCAGCTGAAGTGAGTAGCACCTGCCTGCCTTCAGGTGGTGCAGGGACTCTCAGATACAGCTTCCAGGCTGCCTCCACCTTCCCCAACCCCAGCAACTATTCAGCCTGGCTGCCTTCATGGGGTTGCAGGGAATCTGATGTGGAGGTGGGGGCTCCTTTATACTTCTCCCTTGAAGGGAGTACAGCCACAAACTTCTCAACAGAAAGTGTGACAGAGCCTGCACCTCCCCAACTGAGCAGCCCCGATCCAGCTCCTCTTCCCGTGCAAGCAGCAAAGCTGCCTAGCAAAACAGCCCAATCCCACTCCTACTTGCCTGCAAGCTGGAGCAGGCTGGCAGGGTGGTGGTGGCAATATCCCTTGCCTGCTTGCTTGCTGCCCCAGCCCAGCCTTCCCTCACTCAGTGCCAGGGCCGCCAGAGCTGGAGGAGGGGGTGGTTGCTGTCTGAAGGGCGGCAGGTGCCTGCTCACTTGCCACCCGACCTGCCTTCCCTCACTAGGAAAACGGAAGTGTGGCACTCAAAATGGAAGTTATACTCAGAACAGAGCACATTCAGCTTCCAAAAAAAGTTCCAAAACCGGAACACTCATTTCTGGGTTTGAAGTGTTCAGGTTCCAAGTAGTTTGGTAACTAAGCTGTTCAAAAACTGAGGTACTGCTGTATTTATTTTTTCCAATTTGAACTGTATTTATTATTCCCAGTTTGAACTGTATTTATCCCCCCCCCATGATTTTCTTGAGTCAAAATGAGAGTACCCCTAAACATTTTTGTAGAAAAAAAGTACTGAGTTGTACCATAAAATTATATATCAATGGAAAGATAATTTAATGAAGAATGTAATGCAATAACTTTTATGAAGGATTATTTATTACAACAGCAGTCATAAAGAAGAAATGTGAAACACAGAGAAAAAATGAGATATACAGGTTAAATTGCAGTGTTGGCACTTTGCAATAAATAAGTGGGTTTTGGGTTGCAGTTTGGGCACTCAGTCTCTAAAAAGTTCACTATCACTGGCCTACAGCCTCAGCATTTCAATGCTTTTGCAATAGCATAATGACCGCTCCCCACTTCAAATGGGGGGCGCCTTTTGCGTGGTCTAGTGCAGCCCCCTGGATCCCAGAGCGGCTCCTGGTAGTTTGGGCTGGCTTCACCCTCCCCAGGCCGGATACCTGGAGGTCTCCGCCTACCTCAGCCAATCGCCCAATCCCGCCTGGGAAGGCGTCGCCAGGGGATCAGCCAGGTAAGTCTTCTTTTGCAGGTTAACTTATTCTCCACAGGTACTCAGGCGCTGCTACGTCAGTGTCGCTGTTGAGGAATTCTCCTGCATTGGCAGGTTTTGCCTTTCCCGTAGCAAAACGTCATAACTTTGGCGGTTTCAGGCCTTGGGCAGAATCCTTTAGTCTATCTTCCTAAATGGGGGGGGGGGCGTGAAGCGGTGACCCACACCCCCCTTGCGGCGGTGATCCCAGAGTTCCCTGTTAAAGGGGTCTTGAGGGGGGAGGCATCGGCCATACACCAAGAGGTTGTCATTGCTCTCCCCTGTGACGGCGGCGAAATGGGGAGGGGGTGGGCTGTCTGCTTGGACATATGTTCTCCAGAGCCAGCCCAATCCCCACACATTCTGGATGACCCTGATGTCTCTGAGATCCCCGGCTGGGGACTGGGAAGGATAAACGCCCAATGCCTGAGCCAAGGTCTCCCTACATCTGCAACTTAATAAAGTTGTAGCCACTTTTAATCCCATAGCATGTTGTCTTGAGTCAATATTCTGCTCGGGGTCGCCTGCGGTTGCGGGGACTCCGCCTGTCCACGCAAAATCAGGTAGTCAACTGATACTTCTCCCACATTGGAAAAATGGTTCAATTGTAAAGGTCTCAACCCTGCCCATATATGGATGTGTGATGTTCAAGATTGAAACAGATGTAGCCACTACAGCAGGTGCTATGTAGTGTTTTGATTCAGAAATTTCCTCATCTGGTCTGACTTCACACACATGCTCAACGCAGTTCCTTAGGAGTTCCTTCTCCACTGTATGATCACATGGTTGGGGCCAATAATGTGAGCTTTCCTAACCAAGTCAGCACCCTGCTAAGAAGGGAATGTGCCAATGGCATGGGAAACACACCCACTGGTCTTCCCTGGATTGTTGCCATAGTCACCTTCACTGCTCATTGGTATGGGACTGCAACACTGGGAAGAAGCCTTAGCAGCACTGTATGTGTGTGAAGGTGGTTGTACAAAGCTTGGCCATATCAATAGGCCCAAAACATTTTAGTGAATGGAGAATGGTTCCAGGCCCGGTACAAGGCAAAGGTTATATGAGTGTTTGTTAATATTTGAACTGCAATTCCCATTAAGAAGAGATCGTTTCATGGCAGAAGCTTAAGGGAATATGTACTGGTCATGAAAACACAATCTGCAAGGTCTCTGGTTTACATGGGAAATTGATCTACATCCTCTTCTCTCCGCATTCACTCGGTTAATTGAGATAATATGTGCTAATGGCAATCCACTAATAGTTGAGTGTGGTTTTAGGGGAAGTGAAAAAGCAGAAAGCATTCTACGCTCAAACAGGAATGGGATAAGATTTATCTGGTCACTGTCAGACACAAAAGAAAATAGATGCACAGGTAAAGTCTTAATATTTCCCAATGAACTTTCTTTTTCTTTCACAATATCGAATGTAACAACCATGGGTTGTTCAAAAACGAGTGAAAGGATTAGGGACGGTCCATTCAAAAAACAATCCATGCTCTCAAAACAAAACAAAACTATGCAGATATTTGAACAAAAGTAATTATTTTGGTCCCCAACTTTCCATTGGAGCTGGTACTTATGTAGGCTCTGACAGAAACTATTCACTGTTTTTCAAGATCCAATCTGTTATGTCCTCTGAAGGACATCCTGTGTCTAAAGAGGAAGATAGGGAGAGTCTCCAAGCACAAGAAAGAGAGGGGAGGAGAGGAAAAGTCTCAAAATTGTATTGGCATGGGAGGAGACAGCTTTGCTATACATGCTACTCAGAAGTAAATGCGTGCCTTCCCTGTTTTTTTCTGCCGTGTTTTAGATGTCATACAAGTATACATTCACTTTCGAAAAAGCTACAAAAGCAAGATGCTCCAACAGCATATCTGACCAGTTTCGTTGGTGAATCTGGCATAACAGTGGTATATCTGGCCTTCTACTGACATAGCACAGCTTCTGCCGAATCCTATAGTTGGCATCTCAGAACTACATAATTTTGCCAAAAAAAATTCACAATATTTTTTTTACTACAAACCACCACTATTATTAAATTGATTTGATAATGGTGATGATTGAGAACCCATGTGGTGTTGTAGTTAAGTGTTAAACTAGGACCTAGGAGGCCAGGGTTCAAATATCTCCTTGCCTCCCCCCCCCACTGGGTCACTGCCTCCCAGCCTATCATACCTTCCAGGGTTGCTTTGGGGATTAAATGAAGAGCAGGATAACCCTGTATGTTGTCTCGAGCTCCTTGGAGGAAAAGTGAGATATAAATGCAATAAATAAATACTAATTAAATATTGCATTTTTAAAAACTGCTGGGGGATCTTTCCAGCCAAACTTTCTAGAATAAGCAACTCTGGTGGCCTCTGCAAAGCCAGATTCCATTTTATCCTTACAGAGAAGAGACGTTGATATGTAGTTTTATGTTAACTCTGCTGTGCTCCTCTGCTTCCCCCGACCTGAATCATGAGAAAATTATTAATCATTCAGTTAAGCCAGTATTTAGGCCAGTTTAGTCCTAAAGAAGATTGCTATAGATTTCTTTAACAGGTGACATGGTTTATTACAATCCTCTAGGTTAGTTGGTGCTTGCAGTACCAAATTGTACAATAAACTTATTCCTTTTGGGTGAGGGCTATAGAATGGGAATCAAATAATTTGTATTTTGAATAGTAAATCTGCAAAGATACATTGTCACATGTAACTGTCACATGCAATTAAAAAACACATAACTATGCCACACTCATTAGTCAGACATTACAATGGGAAAATTATAGTTATCTAAAATCACCTGCAGAAATGTAACAAGTCCTTAATCAAGTGCTGTGGATGTTCCATAGGTCACTACATCAAATGTGGCTGTATTGATATTCTAACTTGACCCAGAATCGAATAAGGGCAGGAAGGGTTTTTGTGTGATATGGTTATTATTTCCAGCTTTTGTTTGGATTCCCTCACTTACAAAACCTTCTGGGCTCATGTAGTATGCTGCTTGTTCTGCATTGTGTAGGAGTCACTCTCCCTGGATATGAAACTTTGCTTAGCTCATGTTATCTTCCTATACTGTAATGTGACATCTTGGTTAATATACAGACTGCCAGACAGTCTACATCCCTAGAGAATTACTTATTCATCTAGCAACATTTGCAAGCAGGCCAAGAGATAAGCCTTTGCTCTAATTCACATGCTAGCTAATTAACCACAGCGTTATTAGGCTCCATTTATGGTTATCAGCATCATAGCCCTCTGCTAAAATAATAGCATAATGGGTATGAAGCATGATTAAATTGGCAAGGAAAAATGAAGGATTTCCTATGCATAGACAAAAAGTTAAAATTGAGAGGTAGAATATTTGGTCCTGATTTCCCA